CAAGGCACTGCTCTCAAGTATTTAGTACTTTTTTCGCTATGTATGTCGCAAATATTTGTCCACAATGATGGCAAGAACTCTTTATGGATTCGTGTTTGCAACGAGCTTTCTAATTAAGAAAGAATATTTCAGCATTTTTTTAACGGTAAAACAATGGATGATTGTGTTTCACACGAAGCAGAAATTTCTTTTTTCATGAACGACATTTTCTTTTTTTATAGATGTGAGAAAACTGAATAAAATTTGTCGCCGTATCTGCATAAAAAAAAAACCGAAGACTTCAATTTAAATTTTGTATTGAGCAGATTGTTTTATATTTTTTTTTATTTCTGTTTTGACGTCAGCCATGAATTCGATTTCAAAATTTATAGTGTGCACAGAGAAAAAAATGACGATAAAAACCAGAGCGAACACAAGCAAGCTTTTTTTTTCTTCTTTATGTGTTAATGCAGAAGATGAAAGATTAAGGAATATGAAGATTTCTTCTCTGGGAAAGTTTATTAACATTAATTGCCTTTTTTTCTTGTCTTTTTTGTTTTGTTTTTTTTAAATCAGATGCCAAGTTTAAATTTCAAGCTGTGGCAAGATCGTCTTGAAGATAGAGGGAGCCTTATTAAAATATTTATGAATAAAGAATTGTTTATTTAATCAGCAACATCGGAATTATCCACAAGAATCCGTGGGACCATCATGCTAACAATAAAATCACAACCACGAGGTAACGAGATAATTCAGAAACGGAGCTTGGCTGTGGCACAAAACCTGAAGAACGAGGCACCTATTCAGGTGTCGGCTAACTATTCACTATTAAAATTGTCAAAAAAACTAAAAAAGCCTCCGATACATTCCAGCCCCTGACACAACTTCCGACCAGAAAAATCGGATCGATACTCTTTGTACTTGCTTTGTGCACACTTCTACCGGAGTGTCCATGTTTACACTGTAACAGCAGTATAAAAAAAAAACTGGCACAATCAAGCCCAAACCTCAATCACGTGGCCAAAATAGAACTAACTAAAAGCGCGAAAGAGCTGAAGGCAGTGTGTTGTCAAGACATGTTATGGAGAAAATGCAGTTAATATATATATATATATGTGTGTGTGTGTGTGTGTGTGTGTGTGTGTGTGTGTGTGTGTGTACGCACACACGTATATATATATATATATATATATATATATATATATATATATATATATATATATATAGCATGTGTTAATTCATGCATGCTTGGTTTAATAATATAGACATATGTCATTTATTTTAATTTTTATCATCACAAATTGACGGACCAATCTCTTTGTGCTGTTAAAAAGCTGAGTAAGAAAGACGACGTAGTTTTTCTTATTTCTTTTATTTTGCCAAGTAGTTTCAATCTCATTCAAGATCATCTTCAGGGGTGAATTGCTAAGACAAAGAATTAGTGGTATTAACACTTATGCATTTTGTGCGCGCGCATGAACGCGCTCTGCTAATTCAAAAATTTACCGCAATGTATGGGAGGTAACTTAATTTATATTGTAAAATTTTTATTAGAAAATGTAATAACTTGAAAGAGCAGAAGGCAGTGTCTTGTCAAGATATGTTATGGCGAAAATGGGGTTAATTTTATATATATATATATATATATATATATATATGTGTGTGTGTGTGTGTGTGTGTTGTGTGTGTGCATGTGTGTGTGTGTACACACACGTATATATATATATATATATATATATATATATATATATATATATATATATATATATTAATCGTTATCACCACATGGAAGGCAGTAAAGCCACTAAGACACAATGATTATTATTATTACAGAGCAAATAAATTTCATTAAAAGAATCCAAAACTGACCTATTTCAACCGACAAAACTTCATCAGTCTTCTTCAACCTCGGTGTATAGATTTAGTCTATATACCGGGATTGAAGTAAATTTGAATTTTTATGTACTAACATATATATATATATATATATATATATATATATATATATATATATATATATATGACAAAATTATGTTTCGCCAAGTAAATTTCGATCAGCGTATTTCTGGAAGATAATGATGCCATTATCGTGTTTGGTAGTGACAGAACGTTAATAATAATAATTATTATAATTGTTATTATTACAAATCAATCTTTATACATAAGTTTATGTGTGTTTTCCTGAAGAAAGTTATATTTAAAATAAATATTACAACAAAAGATTTCTTATATAAATATATTTATAAGTAAATAGGTTTGTAAAATTTAAATGCATTGTTTAAATTTAACTGTAGAAAAGCATTGAAAATCAGAAAGAAATAGACTGTCATTGGTCAGGAGCTAACTATAGCGTCAGGAGAAAATAGGATTATTATATGTACTTTGTAGAATTTTGATGATTATTTTTGCTACAGAATTGGATTTTAAATAATTACATAATAATAATCCAGTGAATATGATTTTATTATAGCATTGAATTGAAAATCAGGAAGAAAGCGACTGTCACAAGTTAAAAATTAGGCTTTGGTACATTTCGACGTCGCCCATTTGGCGTCAGAAAATATTTGTACGATTCGGCACAGTCGTTTAGGCGTCAGACTGTTTCGACATCACTCTCTTTGACCGAAGTCCCCCCTCCTTCCTAAAAAGAAAAGGATAAAAGCATTGAAAACATCCAACTTTCAATATGACTTTTTATTCATTTAGGGAAATTAAGGATCCTATTAAAATAACTAATGAATTATGTAAATTAAAAACTTAAATTAAAAATATTGTATTTCAAACAAAATTAAAAAACTTAGTAAATCTAATTTACTAATTCTAATTTAATCTTAGAAATTCTTCATTTCGTAATTATTAACAACACTCTTCAGGAATTCAATAGGATTTATGTAATCTCACTTTACATCGATCTTTCTGTTCACATCGTCAAAACTTTAATTCAGTATTCCTCTTGCTGTTTATATGAAAAATAAAAAAAAGGTATACATCGTGTATAACTTTGTTTCTTCTACATTTTGATAAAATATTTACTTCCATTTTGGAATAAAAGGGCTTTGATGACTGAAAAATATGAAACTGCACTGGAAATATAATATAAAAATTCCTCCAACTATTCTTTTTTCATAAATTTCAAAATTCCTCAAACTACACATTTTTTCTTAAATTTCAAAATACCTCCAACTACACATTTTTTCTTAAATTTCAAAATACCTCCAACTACACATTTTTTCTTAAATTTCAAAATGCCTCCAACTAATTCTTATCTTAAATATAAAAATGCCTCCAACTACTCTTTTTCTTAAATTTGACGAAGTACTAATCTGACTACTAGAGAAGAGAGAGAGAGAAAGAGAGAAAGAGAGAGGGGGAGAGGGGGGAGAAAGAGAAAGCAAATTCGGCTATAACGACGAAGTAGTAATATGACACCTAATCGTCCTCTGGCGAAAAATTTCAATATCGAATCGGCCACGCCGAATCAGCGGCGCAAAAAAGTCCTATTCCCTAGAAATTAAGACGGGCAAATAAGCGCTATTTTTTCTGTAACACATAATAGCAACGCTAATTATTATATTATATAAATTTAAAATAGCTATACTTTGGGAATTTTGATATCTGATAATAGTATTGAATGAACGTTTAAACATCTTTGTTTAATAAAACTTCCCTGCAATTTTCCAAGCTTAGCCTTGATGTGTCACAAGGCCGAAAGTATGGGGCACCCAGTGAGGATTGAACTCACTACTCATTCAAAATTGTTCTAGCGAGATAAGCTTGCTAATCATTACAATACGTCGAGGTAGCCAGCCTACTTGTAATAATAATAATAAAAAAAACAACAAGCAATTAAAATTAGATTTATCCTCAAATTCGCTTTATCTTGATAAATTCAACCGAACGTTGGTACAATGTCTTTGTCTCGATAACTTTCCCTTTTAGTTTCAACACTACAAAATGCTATCATGTGCAAAACGAGTTTAAATTTAGAAAGGCCTAGAAAAGTCTCACATCTGTGCATTGAAGTGTTATGGAAGGTAACGGAAAATAAAAACGCCGAAGTCGACTGCCTTTCTCGGCTTCTACAGAAAATGGCGGCTTTCATTCAGTTTTGGCTATGAAGAAAGAACAGTTGGAATGTTCAATACATTTTTTTTTTTCGCAACAAAACGTTTTCACTTTTTCTACTTGTGGTTTCGCCTGTTATATCGATAAAAGAAGTGCTGGAAGAAACGGTTTTTCTCCTGCATCATGAAACAAAAGTAATGACGAATACTCTCAAAGAACTGGAGTTAAAAGTTAGTTTACATCCGTACACAAGAGAAAGAAGGAAGGCCAGCTCTTTTGTTATGTGTTAAACATTTTAAAATGTGCTAAAGGAACAAAAAGACAATTTTTGGCCTTTTTCAGTTGCATTGTAGCATAAAATATTAAATATATGCGACCACTAAGACTTGTTACAGACTGCGTAGGCTGGCCTTAGAACGGGAAAATATTGGCCAGAAATCTGATCAGCCGAACAGAGTTCTGTGGGGGGTGGTCAGCCCTGAAAGGCGCGAAATTCTTTCAGCGATGGATTTTTGTAAAAGTTTTTTTTTTTTTCTTTTATATATATATATATATATATATATATAATTAAACCTAAAGAGCCAGACAAACCTAACAAGGCTTCACCAACGTGGATCGTCAGGGAGTGCTGACGATCCGCGTAGGGGAAACCTTGATAGGTTTGTCTGGCTCTTTAGGTTTAATTAGGTTTGTTCTACTTAGTGTATTGAGCACTTTATTTAGTCATTTTAATTACACGTAAGACAGACTATGCGTGAAAATACTGGCACGGTTGGAAGAATTAGACACGCACCCAGATACCTTAGTGATTGATGCAAGGTTCGATTCCTCCTAGCGCAACTTCCGCTAAACCCGTCACTGGAATACTTATATAGAACTCGGGAAAGAGGTAGTGACATAATTCTGAAAATTGCTTGAAGCATAACACGGACTGTTAATGTGCAGTGTTGATTTTTATGCATATCTATCTATCTATCTATCTATCTATCTATCTATCTATCTATCTATCTATCTATCATAGCATGCTCATTATCTATCTATCTATCATAGCATGCTCATTATCTATCTATCTATCTATCTATCTATCTCAGTCTGTTCGTATCTATTTATCTATCTCAGTCTGTTCATATCTATCTATCTATTTTTAGTTCCACATATCTACCTTCAAGCATGTTGCATTAAATAATATGGACATATTATGTCTATGACGACTTACACTCCATTTATCTATGGCGCAAAATTTAAATACACATTACTACCCCACCCTCACAATGCAGGAAAATAATTCTTGAGAACACCAGTATATTACACCATAAAAATAATAAACAAATGCATGGAATTCTCGAGGCTCTCTATAACAAAATCAAGCGACCAACAGTGAACGAAATTTATTATGAGTATAGTAGCAATATTTTAAAATGCATTTCAGTTACTGACATTTAACACTATTTTCCAGTTTACACTCTCTGGTTATCCCCCTTGTACTGGGAACGCTTGTTTACAAAACATCTTATGCACAACGGTTAATTTAAAAAAAATAATTACATCAGAGTGCGTTCGCTTGTATTAACGAAATCATCAGCATAACGATCACATTTACATAAAGTTTGTCTTCGCAATTCACCCCTGTGGATGATCTTGGAGGGAGTCGAAAATACGTAGATTAACAAAAAATAAGGCGCCTTCCTTGATGGATTTACAACTTAACACAAAGATGGTAATTAGAGAACTCGAAAGGATTATTATAAAAAAGATGTCTATATCATATATATATATATATATATAACAAGCATTAAATTTATTTTCTTTGTGATGTTTTTAAACATTTAAATTACTATCAAACGTTAAAATCTGTTTTTTTTTTATCTAAATTGCTAGAGCTAGAGCACCCCTCTTCTTCCTTCAAAAACTCTGCGTAGATCTCTAATCTTTTCCCTTTTTCTTTTTCCCTTTTTTCTCCTTTTCCTTTTCCCATATCATTTCCGTTGAGTTGACCGATAAAATAGGTCAATGTCTGATCCTTAACCCCTCCTTCCTCAATATTAAGTATTATAATAAAAAGAAATATAAAAATAAATTTCAAAACTCCCCCTTCTCCATCTAAACTCGACCATGTCTCTCACACTATTCCTCATCACCTTCTATGTCAAATTATATAAGCTTAATACTGCGCGTCAAAAGTGTAAATTTTAAATTCATTTTTCGTTTCATTTTTTGAGAGTGAAGTCTGAAGATTCAGAGAAAAAATAAAATTCTCTGGCGAAATAAATTATTACGATGGAGCCTTAAAGTGGTCTGTTTTTCTTTAAATTAAATTGTATATATATATATATATATATATATATATATATATATATATATATTACGTGCTAATACCCTTGGAAAGGTGTAAATCCTCTTCTTCTCCCTCCTGCTATGGGTAAATAGCAGGACAGACTGGGTTCTATAGCCTTGGATAGCAAATGGCTTAGTAGAAGGACAACTCTGAATTCAAAAACCTGCGGAGGGTCGTTTGGGGACCTTGTGACACGTAGTGCACCAGGTCTCTGTATTCGGCCCTTCAAAAAGTGTGGATGGTCCTGCACGAAACCTTCACCACTATAATCAAATCTCATGTGCTGTAGTCTGACTGTCGGTTTCCTGGGAACTGATCTGCTTGAACCTCATACGTCGAATTCGACGGGAGAGTCGAGTATATAAATTATTGAAATTGTTGTTGATAAACCTTGGATAGCACAACTTGTAAGTATATCCAAATAAATTGGTACCCGAGAAAAAAAAAGAAAGAACTAGAAACAACGGAACAGCGCGAAATAAATCGTCCAGTGCCTTAATTTTTTAGTCCAAAGAAAAACCCAAGCGAATAACAAAGCTAAAACGTAGTGTGCTCAATACGGTAAGTAGAGGTGGGATAAATGAAATAAATCCTAAATAGCATAGGTTTCACCTAAACGGATCTTCAGTCTAAGCTGGCTAAAGAGGAAATGACACGAAAAAAAAATTATTGATAAATACCACTAAAAACTAATTAGAATATATATATATATATATATATATATATATATATATATATATATATATATATATATATATATATATATCACTTCAAATCTTAGTTTTAGGGTATTCTATTATGGAAGTAGACGTTCTGATTTTTAAAAGTCTTGTCTACCGGCCTGTGCACTCCTAAAAACTTAATAATGAAAATGTGATTGCCGAACCTGCGTCCTATTTGGCATCAAAAACCACTGCCTGAGGTGCTTTGACCCTTCGGCTACGGAGAACAGTGAAGCAAGTTCCTATTTGCTTTCATGTTAGTGTTTCTTTGTTTTTCACGTTTTGTTTCTTGGGTGCACAGGCCGATAGATGAAATAAACAATTTTCAAAAACGGACCGTCTACATAAATAGGGCATCCGCTAAAAAATAACGTTTGAAGTGGTAAAATAAGTCGCCCTGAAAAATAAACTCTATTAATGATATATATATATATATATATATATATATATATATATATATATATATATATATATATATATATTGAAAATACTCTTGGTTATATGATAGACGACAAATTTTAAGAAGACGACAAAGACTACTTGCTGAAACACGAAATTTATATATATATATATATATATATATATATGTATGTATGTATATGTATATATATATATATATATATATAAAACAGTTCATTGTTTTATATATATTATTGTCTTTTCTAGACATATTCCATTAAACACACACACACACACACACATATATATATATATATATATATACATATTAACCGCAGGATTTTCCGACAATTCTTGCAATAAAACCATATTTAACGAAGCTAAGAAAGACTACGGAACAGCCCTAAAAGATACTGGATTCCTGCCAACACTGACATACTCACCACAGAACACAAGAAAGGCCAACAGGAAGAGAAATACCATGTGGTTCAACCCACCGTACAGCAAAAATGTAAAAAAAAAACGTAGGTAAATTATTCTTCAAACTCTTAAAAAAATACTTCCCGGAATCAAGCACTCTACACAAAATATTCAATAAAACACTGTAAAAATCAGCTACAGTTGCACCGAGAACATGGCACAAATAATAAAAAGTACAACAGGAAAACTATCAACAAACCACCTGAACAAATTAAACCCACATATAACTGCAGAATAAAGAATGAATGTCCCTTATACGGTAATTGCTTACAAAACTACGTAAGCCACAGTAAAATCACTAGATAATGAGAAAAAGTATACATAGGAGTAACTGAAGGACCCTGGAAACAAAGAAACTATACACACAAAATATCTTTCACAAATAGCAAATACGTGAACAGCACAATGTATATCAGGGAAATTAAAAACAAAACACAAATCACACCAAAAATATCATAGAAAAAAGGAAAAGATCATCAATCTAAAACAATCAATCAAAAACCTGCAAACTTTGCTTGGAGGAAAAATAGTTATAATTACCTTCCCAGACCAAAATAAATTACTAAATCAACGATCTGAGCTCGTCTCAGAATGCAGACATGAAAACAAATTTTTACTACGTTACTTAAAGATCGAAAAATGAAATTAATACATAAAAATAAACAAAATAATATAAAAAACAATAAAATAAATTAACTCATACAAAAAATATACAAATTAACAAACCACCCCCGTTATAACAGATGAAATAGAATAAATAAAAATAAAATACATATAAAACAAGTAAAAATAATCACCCTAATATATAAATAAAGTAAATAATAATAAACAAATTAATCCCCAAAATAAAATTAGAATAGACTACAACAACCAATCTAAAAATTTGACGTAAAATAGCTATAACTGCTATATAACGATAAAAAAAACATTACTACGTCACTCAAAAATCGCAAAACAAATAGAGTAAATAAAAATACACAAAATAAAAAAATAACTAAATAAAAAATTAATCCAAATGAATAAATAAATAAAAGAACAGAGTAACAAATCGTCCCCGCTAAAATAACCGTTAATAATAATACAAATAAGCATAAATAAGCAAAAACAAGTAGAAATAATCAATCAGAATAAATAAATAAACTAAAAACTGTCACCCTCGACAAAATAACAGATTAGACTACGGCAAGCAATCTAAACGTTGGACAAATAAATAGCTTTAATTATCTTCCAAGACCAAAACAAACTAATAAATAAGCGACCTTTGCAAATCCCCACACCCAATTTTTATACTAATTTAATAAAACATCAAAAACCGAAAAGAATAAATAATACAAAATGAAAATGAAAAAAAAAAAAAAAAAATTAACCCAAACAAATAAATAAACAAGCCACTCCCAAAAATAACCGCCAGAATAGATTAGCCACAATGCACCACTGCCCCATATCTATAAATAGTCGAGAAAATCCAACATTTGCGGCCTGACGATAGCATCTAGCATGAAACCGCCTGTCGCATCTGAGTGTTCACTTCAATGTTCACTTATATATATATATATATATATATATATATATATATATATATATATGAGTTTGGTAGCAATAATAATTGTGCTCGATGTAAAATAAACGATTTAAAAATTCATAGTAAAATATGCTTTTTTTCGTATGATGCCAAGTTTTCTTTTTTTATATAAACACAAAAATAAGCACAAAAAAGACAAACATAAAACTCAATTTTCAGAACAATAGGTTAAAAATAACAAATTTTTTTATAAATTTAATGCAAGAGACAAAATTATTCGTACAGTATGAAATATATATATATATATATATATATATATATATATATATGATAGGGCACTGTGAGCTTTGGTAGACAAGAGACAAAATTATTCGTACAGTATGAAAAATACAAGCAATTCAACAATTTTCACAATATTAATAGCCAGTACCATGGCCTCTCAATCTTTATATAAAAAAAAAAAACAAAATATAGTAAAACTCAACAACCGGGTTTTAGGGGTTACGTTCTTTATTCAAAAAGAAAAAAGAAGAAAACAAAAAATAAATAAATAAAAAATAAACTATTCTAACAACCAGCGTTTCCTATGTCTACACATACTAAGAATTTCCGATTTCAGATTTAATAAAATTGGGTTTTTTATAGCTTGCAATAGCTAACTCTTCCTCTGTGCATAGGGAACAAAATTTATCACCTGCTTCATACCTGTGACATTTTGTTTAATATTTCCCATTTCAAAATGAAGTCATTATTATCTTCTTGTTTGACCTTCCATACATAAGAGGACCAGGTAGTAATGTGTTTGTAAGTTTCACTATTGAAACTATTAAGGTGGTTATAGTATCGTTTTTTGAAACTATTCTGTGTAGAACCTATGGAAACCTTAGGCTTTTTTATCGGTATTGTTCTGTTTATCCTTATATATTTTTACGTTTTTTTTGTCACGTGGTCATGGTTGTTTTTGGTTTAAACTATATATTCTGTTCCATTTTTTACCTTTTTGGCCAGTATTACCCTGATGATCCGTTGTGGTGAAATCTAGGTAGGTTTACCTGGCTCTTTAGGTTTATATTAGATTTGCTCTACTTCGTGTACTAGTTACTTTTACTCATTTTGGAGGGTTGTTTTTCTTTGGACTCTGAGCTTGAATTCTGGACGATTGTTTTCGCCTCAAGTTCATTTTTTTATTTCTTATTTTACCTTGGGTACTGGTTTGTTCTACTACAAGCCGAAAAACGCAAGGTTTTTCCAAGCGAGTACTATATATATATATATATATATATATATATATATAAAGTAATTTATCGAGTCTAGAAGAAACCTAAACAGAATGCAGAAAGCATTGGACGGCCGTTTCGTCCTATATTTGAGACACATCAGCAGTGCGCATCCACTACCGAGAATTGAAACCCGAACAGTTACAGTGACAGGCAAAAGTTATATCAATTGTACTAACGGGCCTCGGTGTCGAAGAGGTTGCAACCTAGACTCGGCTTCTCTGGATGGAGCGGCTTGGGGATAGTAGTCATGGCTCTAGGGGGCACAGTCCTATGAGTAAAGGAAACATGCTTGAGTTCCCCCACGGAATATGTGAACGAGCGGCGATATATCGATATCATAGCTAAAAATCGGAAATTCATAAAGGATTGAAATAAAGTTCTAATATATATATTTAAAGAATGTATGTGTTTCTTGACATCGGTTTGCGATGTGGAATCGACATCGAATTCTGGGTTCGTCTGTTGTACTAACTTTAGGGTAAAAGCCCTTTCGAATGGTCTGAACGCATCCCATCTTCAACATACTATACGATAAATAGAAGAGTAGCTAGAGATCTCCAGCGTCTCGAGAAGCTCGGTTTAGGTTTAGAAAACACTGGATTCAAAACGGTGGCAATGACAAAAAAGAATGCACTCAACTGTCTATCCTAAGAAGCCATGACACTTCACTGTTAATAAAGAAATGGATTCTCTTGCGTATATTGATCCCTTACAAGATGAGTTGATATGAACTTTTTTTTAACACTTGATTATATTTCAACATTCTATGTCGATGTGTTCTCAGAAGAATACGGTAGGAAATCGAACTTATCATAGAAATTAAATCGAAAAGTTTTATTTCCTGCTTTTTTTTTACCTGTATTTTTCTTCCTTTTTTTATATTGCGTTCAAAAGATGCCGGAAGATTGAGAATAGTAGAAGCAAAGCATTATGGGTATTTACTATTATCTAATTTTGAACAAGGTGTTTTTTTTTTCTGTTTGGTTTGTTTTCTTTTACGGCATATCAACATCTCAATGGGTTATTTAATGCCGACAAGATTTTTAGTGCTGGTAATATTTCCTATCTATCTATCTATCTATCTATCTATCTATCTATCTGAATCTCTTCCTTTCAATCTGTCCCTATCTATCTATCTATCTATCGATCTATCTATCTATCTATCTGAATATCTTCCTTTCAATCTGTTCATATCTATCTGAATATCTTCCTTTCAATCTGTTCATATCTATCTATCTATCTATCTATCTATCTATCTATTTATCTATCTATCTCAGTATATATTGGTTTGGTTTGGTTTGTTTTACGGCATATCAATCTCAATGGGTGATTTAATGCCGGCCATATTTTATTGCTAGTCGTATTTCCTATCTATCTATCTATCTATCTATCTATCTATCTATCTATCTATCTATCTATCTATCTGTCTACTTGGGTTTGTTCATCTATCTAACTATTCATGTATCTATTTATCAATCTATCTTCCAATCTATCTGTCTCGGTCTGTTCATATCTATCTATCTATCTACCTACCTACCTACGTATCTATCTATCTATCTATCTATCTATCTATCTATCTATCTATCTATCTCAGTATATATTGGTTTGGTCTGGTTTGTTTTACGGTATATCAACCACAATGGATTATTTAATGCCTCCAAGATTTTTATTGCCCTTAATATTTTTTTTTTAAATATGTATTGCTGGTAATATTTTTTCTTCAAAAAATGTATTGCACGTAATAATTTTTTCTTAAAAAATGTATTGCTGGTATTAAAACCTATTTTTTGTTTTGACCCCAGATTTGAGGTTAACTATTTGCCCATAGTCGGGACCCTAACAGGTGCTACCACCCCGGGTCAGGGTGAACCTGGTAACACAGGCAATTAAGAGGCATTTCAACGCTCCTCAAAAGCTCCTGATCAGAGGCCTTGCCGTAGGACCTAGTTTTTCTCTTACCTACAACACCTCATTCGGATGGGGGTCTTAATTCTCTGCAGAGGTGCTGTCAGCGTATTCCGAAGGCTGTTGACCCTGGGTGATAATGCAACTAAGACACAAGAAGCTACCGAGAGTGTCAAAAAGTTACTCCGGAAAAAAAGATAATAAATAGGACGGCAATTAATTGATTGATTGATTCGATTTCTACAGCTTTTTTTAGGTTATTTAAAGCCAGAAAAATTTTTTAGAATCTAAGAATTTCTTTTTTTTTATAATAAAGAGTTACTGTTACATGTGTTACTATTTAATCCATAGCTGGAGAGAATTGCGGAAGATTCATACTTTTCCCGAGCGTATTTGCGCGTAAGTAAATATAAGGATCTCAACGGGAATTGGAACATCGCTGTCCGATTAACAATTCTGATCCATTATCCAGTACACAATCTGTACATTCAATCTTACAGTACCAGATATTCCCAGGAGGTCACTCATTTAGGTACTGATCAAGCACGATGTTGCTTAAATTCACTGATCGTACGGGAACCTGCGTTTCCATGTAAAGTGACCGTAAACCTCCGAATTTAAGATGTCTGAAGGGGACGATCCATTTGACGTTCTGAAGGTCATTATCTATCTATCTATCTATCTATCTATCTATCTATCTATCTATCTATCTATCTATCTCGGTCTATTCATATCTATCTATCTATCTATCTATCTATCTATCTATCTATCTATCACTGTTCATATCTATCTACTCATCTCAGGCTGTTCATTATCTATCTATCTATCTATCTATCTATCTATCTATCTCACTATGTTCATATCTATCTATCTATCTATCTATCTATCTATCTATCTATCTATCTATCTATCTCTGTCTATTCATATCTATCTATCTATCTATCTATCTATCTATCTATCTATCTATCTATCACTGTTCATATCTATCTACTCATCTCAGGCTGTTCATTATCTATCTATCTATCTATCTATCTATCTATCTATATATATATATATATATATGTTCATTATCTGTCTGAATCTGTTCATTATCTATCTATCTATCTATCTATCTCAGTATATTCATATCTATCTATCTATCTATCTATCAATCTATCTTGTTTTAATCATTTCACTTCAAGCAAGGTGATAAAGCCACTAGGATGTCTGTCGTCACAAAGGATGATAGATCACAATAAAACATTACTGTGGAGAAACGATTACAAGAACACGATTTGAGACAACAGATGACAATTGATTTTGCATTTACATTCTTGAAGATCCAAGTTTTAATGGAAGTGAGTTCCGTAGGTGAGAAGTGAATAAGAATCCCAGAATAGAACTTACGGTTACATCTGGCAATTTCGACAGTAAAAAGATGTGACTTCCTGATACGACTTGTTTACCGACTTCACAAAATAAAGAACTTATTATCCCCTAGAATTGTCTATTCGTTTTTTCCTCATCCAAGAGGATAATAAAACACTCCAATTAATTTCATCAAAGAAACAAGCCATAGCAATCGCCATATTTGTCAACAGGACAATCGAGATGAATTCGTTTCATTTATAAAACTGCTGACTTATGTGAAAGATTTTAACCATTTCCTTATGCATATTTTTTCGAGAAAAATAGATTCGAAATCCCCTCGTCATAATTACACAATAGCTACTGTCAAATATCTGCAATCTAACAACGATTCCCCCCCCCGGTCAATGAATTCGTTCATCTTTCCTTCAACGTCGTTTTTTTATCATCTGTTCCATCATCAAATATTCTCTGACTATTTTTTCTCATTTTCCATTTTGTGCTTTCCTTTCATCTTCTTATGGTCCACTTATCTTTTGTAACTGGTTCTGCACTTCGGTGCAGTAGAGTACCTGCCACTGATTACTATACGTGATAGCCATTCCCCAAAATACGTCAGTCATTGGAAAGAAAGCCAAATTCGTTGCATGAAGAGTCCTTTCGGTTTAAGGGCATTTCAATGATTATACGATAACAGACTCTATGTTAAATTAACAAAATCGTAACAAATACAAGTAATCAATTTATAGGCAAACAGAAAGATAGGGAGAACAGTGTTTTGTCAGTTGGTTAAATTTGGGGGAAATTGTATCGGCCAAGATTTTTCAACCCCTGCTCGTATATATTCTTCTTCTGTGTCGTGTCACTTCAGGACGAGGGGGCGGTCATGGCTCTCCACAATTTCCTGTCCTTTGTAGCGCTTAGTAAAGTTTGTCTTTTTATATCTCTTGGTTTCTTGTTCTGCCAACCATTTACCCTACCTCGTTAGGTAGCTTATGTCCACTGAGTGTCAAATTTTCTACCCCCACTTTTCTCATTACGTCCCCTAGTTCAACTCTCTCTCTCTCTCTCTCTCTCTCTTGGTTTGGTTTAGTTTACGGCATATCAACCTCAAGGTGTTATTTAACGCCAACAGAATTTTTGTTGCTGGTAATATTTTTTTCCTTCATAAATCTATTTTTGGTAATATTTTTTTCTTCAAAAATGTATTGCTGGCAATTTAAAAAAAGGTATTTCTTGTATTAAAATCTATTTTTACCCTTTCATAGAGTTTTGACCCCAGTTTGGTGGGTAACTATTTGTCCATAGCTGGGACCCTAACAGGTACTACCACTCCGCGTCAGGATGGGCCTAGGAACATCAGCAATTAAGAGGTGGTTCCACGCTCCTCAAAACCTCCAGATCAGAGGTCTTGCTGTTGGACGTAGTTTATCGTCTTACCCAAAACCTGGATGTAGTTTATCCTCATACCCAGGACGGGCTGTTGGATATAGTTTATCGTCTTACCCAGGACGCGGATGCAGTTTATCGTTATACTCAGGACGGCAACTCTCTCTCTCTCTCTCTCTCTCTCTCTCTCTGAGGCTACGTATAAATGTCCGACTTCTTTCCATTTTCCCTAAAACTTCATCGTTGCTTAAGTATTTAGTCAATAATATTCTCAGTATCCTTCTGTAGAACCACATTTCTGCTGCTCCGAGTCTCTTCTCCCTGTATGAGAATATCCAGCATACCATAAAGGAGGAGTCATATTACATAACAGATAATTATTTTTTCCTTGTTTCCAATGTAATTTTCATTTAGTATCTTACTGTCCTCCTTTTTATTGCCATATTCACGACGTTTCGGCCGTTGTACGCTCCGGCCTTCTTCAGGTGTTTGGAATTTCGATTTGAACCCTTCATTTTGTTACCAGGGATAGATTGTTTTAGTTACACGTGCCATGCCTCTTCCAGATGTCTCAGTTATCGCTCTTTAACTTATATATCCTAGTTTTTGTTCAGTGACTTGATACAAAGAGTTGTATGTTCAATACCGGGGCTAGTCTCATTGTTAAATAAAGTTAGGTTGATAGTGGGAGTGATATGTCTATCATATATAACAAAAACTATATATATATATATATATATACGTTTTCACGAAAAGAATAAACATAAGCAAAAATTCATGAAGCTATCTATATTAAAAATTTGAAATCAAAACTTAATAAAATTAATTATGGATCCACCGCAAATATTTTAAAATGTGTATTTTAGATAGTTTGAAATGTCATGGGTTACACTTATAGTTTCTCTTTTTACTACTCATTCCGTAAAAAAAACTCTCCGAACCATACTTAGTTATCTCCCTTTAAGCGGTTACAGCAGCCACGCACTGGCGGAGCGTTCCTCAGTATATTTGTAAGAATTTTAACTTTAATATATCACAACAATTTGTCTCTGGCAAAAATGAATAATAATTTTCTTTCGTCCTTCAATGATGACATCAAAATACTTATTCGGGAGTATGAAAGGATCACATCAAAAATAAATTGACAGAACATGTCAAAACTATATAACGAAACATGTACTAATATATATATATATATATATATATATATATATATATATATATATATAGTTAAACCTAGAGAGCCAAACAAACCTAGCAAGGTTTCACCTTTGCAGATCGTCAGGGAAGGATTCCCTGACTATTCGCTTAGGTGAAACCTTGGTAGAAGAAGATTAATGAAGACATTGGATAGCGACTGACATTACATTTAAATTTTGGAAGATGAAAGTTGCGTGGAAATCCGAATAATTATCATGAAAGTATTTATAGAAAAGGCACAGGGAAGTAAATTTACAACAGTTGAAAAATGACTGAAACCAAGATGCCAGGTCACGGTTAATAATATTGCTGATTCTTCTTTATGTTTTATTAAGAATCTCTAAATATATAGAGAACCGGACCAGATTTAGTGGCAATATTCTAAGCATGGACGAACTGTAAACTAAATAAAAATATACAAAATAGATTCTGGAGAGAAAAACTCTCCAGCACGCCATAATGATCCGACTTTCTCAGCATCAAACTTAGCAATGGATTCAATATAGTTTTTCCACTTCATATCAGCTGATAATGTTAGAACGATATCATATATATATATATATATATATATATATATATATATATATATATATATATATATATATTTATATACGTATCATTTATTCATTCATGCATTCTTGGTTGAATAACCTGGACATATTATGTATTTATTTTAATTTTATCATCTCAGATTCACGGAACAATTTCTTTTGTGGTCTTAAAAAGCTGATTAAGGAAGACGACGTAGTTTTTCTTATTTCTTTTATTTTGCCAAGTAGTTTCAATCTCATTCAAGATCATCTTCAGGGGTGAATTGCTAAGACAAATTAGTGGAATTAACAGTTATGCATTTTGTGCGCGCGCATGAACGCGCTCTGTTAATTCAAAAATTTACCGCTATGTAAGGGAGGTAACTTATTTTATATTGTAAAATTTTTTAGTAGAAATTTTAATAACGAGTTTTAAAATATTCTGTTACAATTGTAGGTTATTTTAACAATTACAACTTAAAACCTATATGTTATAAATATTTTGGTTAAGAAAGGAATAAGAAAAAAAATCTACATTGTCTATCCTTATCAGTTTTGTACCATTACATTCACTTACGTGCTGATACAGTTGAGAAAGGTATGAGACATCTTCTTCTCCCCCCAGCTATGGTTAAATAGCATCACAGAATTGGATGGCAACAGGTCTACAGCAGAAAAAAATAGCAACCTACTGTGGGGAAAAGAATTTGCTTCGTCACTCATGTATCTAAAGATACATGATCGTCTAAGCTTGTATCACGCATGGCAAACAATTAACTGACCAATTCTGAGATATTTATCCGTGAACTTATGATGATTATAATAAAAAAAAAAGACATATTAATATATATATATATAATGTCATTCACACACAGTACAGTTACGCTGTATTACAGCTCTTCAGTGCAACTAGACAACCATATACCTAACGCCCTGATCGAAACACAACCGACTTGGTACCAGTCAGAGCTTCTACCACTAAGCCATCTTCACCCGACTAAGCGAGCGACCCAAATTTAGCGTGTTGTTTTTACAAACGTAAACAAACGCAAAGCAGCCATAGTGCTCCATTCATTTTACTGAAGAGCTTCGGATTTACGCAGTTGACTGTTGTTTTTAGAATGAGCTTGTCGTTCATAGTACTCAATTGAAAATATATTTTCAAGAGCATATATATATATATACATACATATATATATATATATATATATATATATATATATATATATATATATATATATATATATACACACACACACACACACACACACACACACACACACACACACACACATATATATATATATATATATATTAGGGCAACATATTTTATTGGTACTGTTCTTAGTGATAATTTAGCAGACATAAATCATTAAAGTATTTTGTTTCCCTATTCGGATGAACTTTCTGCTTGACTGTCAAGATGGTGCTTCTTTTTTAGTCGCTCTGGGGAAATGTTTGTCGATGCAATACTAAGACGACCAAAATGACACTTGATATCTTAAGGCGATCAACAAAGTCGACAGTTCTGGGCTTTGGGCGCACTGCACTGGACTCTCACCTGTCTGGCGACCATATTCTTTCCTCTAGAATTACGAAAAACTCATCTCACTGAAAGGTTAAACTTGTGTATTCACGTGGAATGCTTCGTCGAATGTGGAAGTGTTCGTAAAACGAAAACAAAACAAAAATAAGCAAGAAATGTAAATCAATATCAGATTCTTCTCGTAGAAACAATAACACAAAGGTTGTTATTGTTTACACTATTTGTGAGCGGACTATTGTCCTTGTCTTTGTTGTTGTTATCACGACGTTTCAACCGTTTCGCCCTCCGGCTGCTTGCAATGCAAAACGATGACAAGCATGGGCAGTCATCAGTATGTAGGTTAGGTTTAAGGATCCAAATTCTCCACAGAATATAGAAGACAATTGTCTCCTGTATTAAATGTTTAGTTCTTTTGCTGTGATTGATGTTGAGTTTAATACCTGGCCCGAACAGTGTGTACAGTTGAAACAGAGCGAACAAAAGATAGATAAGATATCCCTGCACATAAGCAGATTAAATAAAGAATTCCCTGTACTCGGATCAATATACCTGTCGACGTTGTGATAAAAAACAACAAATGGGAGGACAATATACCGCTTATAAATAGAGTAAATAATGACAATTTCTCATCCCAGAAATTGATGCAGTAATTATTATTATTATTATTATTATTATTATTATTATTATTATTATTTTCCTTGATTTCTGGCGTTTACACATTTCTTTCCGGGTCCAGCCCAGGGACCTAAGGTTAGAAATGGCGTCATGACACTTTCCACTGACAAAAAAAAAAGAAAAAAAAAATTAAATTACATATTATTATTATTATTATTATTATTATTATTATTATTATTATTATCATCATCTTTTGTGTATGTTATGATTCCTGCTTTGTATCCGGTAGAGCTGGGACCAGACTATGGTCCTTAGGCCCTATGGAAGAATTGTCATTTAACTGATAGGATTTTCTCAGTATATGGGATGTTCCTAGTAGGGCGATCTTCTGGGCAACTTCTATATTGATGTTACCAGAGACATTGTTAGTAAAATGTTCCATTCCATTTCTCACATTGCCCAGTGCTCCGATTACTATTGGTACAGTCTCAGTCTTCATTCCTCACATCCTGTTAATTTTGATCTCCGATTCCTTGTATTTGGACAATTTCTTGATAATCTTCATGGAGATGTTTCTCTCAGATGGTACTGCTATGTCAATTAAGCATACACTTCCGGAATTTCTTGTTTTTTATGATAATATCCGGTATTATTATTATTATTATTATTATTATTATTATTATTATCTTTGATTTCTGCCGTTTACACATTTCTTTCCATGTTCCGCCCAGGGACCTAAGGTTAGAAATGGCGTCATGACACTTTCCACTGACAAAAAAAAAAAAAAAAGAATTAAATTACTAAATTACATAGATAAAGCCCCTCGTAAAGTGTGGGCTGTACTTGTCAGAACAATTTTTTGTATCTCCTTGAGGCATGGACTTCCAGGAATCTCTTCAATTAGTCTACTGCAATCTTTTCCAACCAGTCCTAGGGCTCCAACTACAACAGGGATTGTTGATGTTCCCATATGCCACATTTTCGAGATTTTTATTTCAAGGTCCTTGTATTTTGACAACTTTTTGAATATCTTCAAAGATACATTGCAGTCAGCAGGGACTGCCATTATTATTATTATTATTATTATTATTATTATTATTATTATTATTATTATTACTATTATTATTATTTGTGTATATTATGCTTTCTGCTTTGTATCCTGTACAGCCGAGCCTAAACTATGGCCCTTAGGCCCCATAGAAAAGTTGTCATTTAACTGATAGCACTTTTCTTAGTATAGGGCATATTTCTAGTAGGGCGATCTTCTGAGCAACTTGTACGTTGATGCTACCTGAGACATCATTTTTAAAATTTTCCATTCCTTTTCTCGCGAGACCCAGAGCTCCGATCACTGTTGGTATAGTCTCTGTCTTTATTCCCTACATCCTGTTAATCTCCACCTTCAGGTTCTTATATTTGGACAAGTTCTGGATAATTTTCATGGAGGTGTTTTTCTCAGATGGTACGGTTGTGTCAATAAGCATACACTTCCTTATCTTTTATGATAATATCAGGTCCATTGGCTTTTATTTCCCTGTCAGTTTGAATTGGCATGTCCCAGAGGATAGTTACATCGTTATTTTGGGTAGCTATGTCTCGTTGGTTCTCATACCATCTCTCAGTGATTTCGATTTAGTGCTTATTGCATATCTTCCCGTTGAAATATGTAGCTGCCTTGTTATGTCTGTGGCTATATCTAGCATATTTGATGCCATAAGAAGGTCGTATCAAATGACCATGTATTCTATCTTTACTTGGCTTGTATCAAACATTTTCTCTGTTCGAATTGGGATTTTTCTGTCACTGTTCCAAGGCCGCTCAAATGAGGAGCAAGTTCTTCCCCTGGAAACCATCTAACAACATATGCTGATCTCTCTCCAACTGACTACGACTTTTCCCATCATTTTGACATCTTTTAAGCCAAAAGTCATTTCGTTGTAACGATGCATAAACTGTATTACTTGGCATTCAAACCTCAAAGACTTTTATCGTAAAGGCATAAATCACTTGTAACTGGATGGCAGCTATAGTAAAGATATCCAGGGTTTATATTCTGACTGATTTAAACAAAACAGATAAATTCAAGAATAAAAGCTGATTCTAAAATCGGACATTATTTCCCGAACAACCTAACATAGAGCGATTTTCTAAGCGTCATTTAGATGTGGCACAAGGCCAAAAGTATTGGCCGCCAAGTGAGGATCGAACTTACTACTCAGTCATAATTGTTAACCAATACCCTACATCGAACAATCTAATATATATATTTAGATATTCATTAAGATAATCCAAGCTTGCCACAATGACTCTACTTGGGAGTATATACAGTGGAAATAAATTATTATATTATCAATGAATAGCTTTCGCAACCAACTTGGTCATAATGATCAACAGAATATATCCTGAAATATTTATTAATTTTTAACTAGATTTAATAGAGATCGGCTATTGTGCGTCTCGAATTAAGGCCGGATTACTAGAAATAATTAATTGAGACAAGATATCCATTAGCAAGGAGAACTGGAAGTAAGAATATACTTCCATGAATTGAATAAAGTGTTTCATACGACGTTCCTAGAAGGTTACTGTTGTGATTTGGGGTCTGGAAAGACGCAACGCTTAAGTCAACCGACTCAGTCGTGATATCATTATTCAATACTCAGGTAGACAATTAACTGCAGGAGTATGATCTTCTCTTTCTAGACAATTACCCAGGACTCCTTGGAGATTAAAAGCAGTAAAATCGGCTTGGCCAATCGAACGATTCTCCGTGGCTCGCTCGGTTAAGGCACGTCAGGCTATATGACGCTTCCGTATAGGATACAGGTTCGATTTCTGTCGGAAAACGAATATTTTCAATGAAAATTTCTCGGACATTCAGGCCGGTAAATGTTATTAATACTGTTTGTTATAAAACAGAGCATTTACTCAAATATTTGTATCTATAAAAAGAATGTATAAACATAAAAATGACTTTATATGTAAATTTAAAACATATTTTTTCCACACTTGGAAGTGCGGTCTCATGAACCAGGTAAAAATCATACATCTGGGGAAATAAATTATAACCAATGGACCCTTAAGGTTGTCTGTTTTCTATTTAAATTAATATATATGGTTATATATAGCTTGGAGGGGGGGGAAACGAATTTATCCCTTTCCCAAGAGCATTAGTGTGAAAGCGGTCGGAGAGGATAAGGTTGGAATTTAATCTTTCCACTTTCTGCGTTACCCACAAAGCCTGAAGCATTGTCTATCGAATTAAAATACACAAAAGTTGTAATAATATTGGTTTCCTTATAAGGAAAGATTTAGCATTAATTATACGATCGTGATATTCTTATTTATATAAACTTTCTGAATAATTCTTCAGGAAAAAAAACTGTTTCTGAATTCGCCAGCCATGACAGACGTTTCCTTGCTAACCTTTTGTTTGAAGTACTGTAGAACATCAACACATTCGTTTTTTGTTTATTATTTTCTCTTCCAATGGCATGTGCTATCCATTTTAGCTCTTGCTGTTGCTTAAAGTCCTCAGGTGATGTAGTTTCTGTTATTTGGTACATATCTTTTTGATCCTGTAATGCCAGTCCACATGGTTTGAAAGAATGTCTGTATAACAATGATATGTCAATTGATTTTCATCTGATAGAGTTCAATGATTTTATTTGCATTATATTCTTAACAATAATACAAATAAAAATAATGTAAATTTAAGCAACTTCGAGTCTGGTTAGTACCTAGACGGACGATCGCTTAAGAATATCTGATACTGTAAGCTGGGATGTGCAGGTGGTGTAATGGATAATGGCTCGGAATTGGAAATTGAAAAGCCGATTTCCCATTCCTGTTGTGTTTGCCACATTCATTTACGTGCAAATACCCTTGGGAAAGGTAAAAATACATCTCTTCTCCCCCAGCTATGGATTAATTAGTAAGATTGTATCAGTATACCATTATTATCTCAAAAAGATCTTACAGTCTAAAAAATATTTTCTGGCTTTAAATAACCTGAAAAGGATTGATAAGCCGTAGAAATCAAATCAATCAATTAAATTGTGTTCTTTTTATTATTGTTTGATTTTAATGTTTCTAGGGTAAGTTTAATTTGTTTATCGACTATGTGGTTAGGGAAATTATTATTAATTAAAATCAGTATTTTATATGTCTCTGTGGTAGATAAGTGGGTGTGGATTGTAGGTGGTTAACTTTGATAAACGGAAATTCTGGTGTTTTCGTTATTGAAAGTCAATTGTTTAAGGAAATGACTTCACTTATTTTAGTTCGTATGGGAAATTTTATAAATAATAAAACCAAACAATTCATTCATTTAGTCTTCTTTTCACCGTGCAATGCGCAATGAAATTTGACAGCAGTACGCAGGTGCTACAGCACACACACACACACACACACACACATGCACACAGAA